ACGAAGTCGGATCTTTTTATTTTCATCATATTCGCCTGCTTGATTTTATACCAGCTGATCAGTTAAGTTGACTCTGGTTGTGTGCTGACAAGTAGATAGGATCGTCAGAGTTCGCCCGTATAGAAAATCAGCTTGTAACCTGACACTTGAAAGGAATCTGTTTTTCATATTACCAGTGGAAATAAAGAAAGAGCGCTGATTGTTTAAATGTCAGTCCTCCTTCCACAGTGGAAGAATATCCGTTCTCTTGTGAACCTACGTCTGTCTAACCATACATTCACTCAGCGCGCCTATTTTTTTGTGTTCCACGTCTTGTTAGAACTCAGGTTATCTCTAGCTAATTTCAACCGGCCAGATGATAATGTTTTTTTCTTTTTTAAATCATTTAATCTCAATCAAGGCAAGTAAACCAACAAGAGTTTACGAAATGTGAGCGAATATAAGAAAAAGAAAAATATTATTAAAGAGAGAGAGAGAGAGAGAGAGAGAGAGAGAGAGTAATCAAAGGAGAAGAATAATAAACAGGAGATGACGTTAGGATCGAACAGGCCACTGACTCTCTAGATAACCAAACTAGGAAAACACGTCGAATATTTTGATATAATATTTTCAGTTACTAACAATTGGCTATTTGTGGCACAAGGCCGTTAGTATAGTGCACTCAGTGAGGATCGTAACTGATCTAGCGAGACAAGATTCTTAAATATTAGACGGCAACCCGACATGGTGTAATTGTTTATCATTCATGGCTCGCTAGATTTCGAGCTTCACTAGTTGTCCCATACTTTCGGCTTTAACCCACGTCAACCCGCACAGCTAAGCCACGCTTAGAAAATCATTGTGACACCACGTCGAATCCGGTTTGATAAAATATATGCGATATTTTTTTTTCTAAAGAAAATATTCTGAAGTATCTCCCGGGGTTTAAACTTAAATTATCGCGTAATTTAATGTTTAACTAGATACCGTAGGCTACCAGTATCTTAACTCCATAATCATGTCATCTGACTTATCTTATTGTTACCTACAGATCACCTGTGTTTTCTATATCTCTATCTATAAAAGGCAGGATCTGTGTGTGTGTGTGTGTGTGTGTGTGTGTGTGTGTGTGTGTGTGTGTGTAACGAATGCACGGCCGCAATTTTCGACAGATTTGCACCAAAATTTTTGAAGATCAAATTTCAGTGAAAAGCAAGAAGCCGAAGAGATTTCCACAAGCAAGATATGCGAGAGAAAACAAACTGTTATCACAGACGTGCCGTCGCCTCTCTCTGTCTTTTTTAGAAATACTTTCATGGTAATTGCTCCGGTGAGCTGCATTCGCTGGTTCCCAGATTTCATGAATTCAAGCGCCCTACGAGGCTGGCATCCTGCTCTCACCCTTTCACTGTCGAAACTCCTAAATGTAGCCGTCTCTTCTACTCCAATAGCTTCATCTCTCGCCCCTCTCGCCCGTGGAACTTCCTTCCCTTTTCCTGTTTCCCTGATAGCTATAATCTCCAACTATTCAAATGTAATATCAATCGACATCTCCAGTTACCCTGATCTATCCACTATCCTTCCCCTCATCTTTTCCTCTATCACTCCTATCTGCTCTCACTCCAAATCCTATGTAACCCCTTGCGTGCTAGTGGCCTTGCTTGGGGTGAAATACCTAATATATATATATATATATATATATATATATATATATATATATATAGAGAGAGAGAGAGAGAGATAACTTACGTTAACATCTACAGCTCCATCTAGCCATTTCAAGTATAAAATGATGAGACCTAGCTGCCAATCTATTATTGCACATAAATTTATAAAGTCTAGGTACCATAGATCACCATGAAAATTCTTATTAAAAAGAAAAAAAAACAAAGAAAATACAAGGAAACTACGTTATGGCGGTGGTAAAATGAGTGAAGGCGATTTACAATGACAGGACAGTCTTCTTTGTATTTTATTAAGAATCTCTAAATAGAGAGCGGAGGAACTGAACCAGATATTAATGGACAACGTTCTAAAAATCAAGTCTTTGTGTAAACAAAGGAGGACAAGGGAGAGGATTCGGTATGAAAGTCTTTCGCCAGTCGGGAACAAAATAGTTTAACAATAAAGGTTGAATCATACGCGTTTTAATTTTAGTTATCTATGAAGATCGCTCCCCAGTCATTAGGCTTAAATGAACTTCAAAACAATCCCGGTTTGGCCATGTTTACACTGTAACAGCAGCAATAAATGTGGCGCGTCATGCTCAAAATGGACCACAGCAGTACCAACTATAAACACGAATGAACAGAAGGCAATGTGACAAACCTAAAGATATTTATGACGAAAGTGTGTATAATTTTTGACTTAACCTCACACACACACACACACACACACAAACACACACATACATATATTAATAAGAAGAGAGAAACCGCAAACGTTTTTGGTTGTAGTGTGCATTTTTTTTCAAAAATATAATTTGTGCTTTATTTTCCGTAATTTTGAAGCACGAGTTTCGGATCTGACGACCTTCTTCAGGCAAAGAGCGGATATTTTCACATATTATTAAAATGAATTAATTATCCTTATGTTTTCCGATGTTAAGCATTCTCGATGTTAATCATTCTCTTTTTTATGTGGTAGAGACACAAATGTCTTTCTTGAACTGGTTTAACATCGAAAAACATAAGGAATATTAATTTAATAATATGTGTAAATATCCACTCTTTGCCTGAAGAAGGTTGCGAGACCCGAAACACGTGTTGCAAAATTATGGAAAATAAAGCATAATATATATATTTTTAAAACAAATCCGCATTACAACTCAAAAATTTTGCGGCTTCTCTCTTTTTAATATATACACTTTTCTCTCGTTGGAACAGCTGTACACTCTTCCCTTCATATATATATATATATATATATATATATATATATATATATATATATATATATATATTTGAAATCAGTGAAAATTTTTTTTATTTTAAAATTTAAATTTAAAAAGAAATCCATTGGTTCTTTAGAAATTGCTTTATTTACGATAGGAATACTAACCTAAATAGATATGGGCTTTCGAAAAAGATATCTTGGTGAGGAATTTTTCTTTCGTTAAAAGGAAAAAAAGCCGAAGAGCATATTTTCTTTATTAAAATTTCTCGAATACAAAAGACATCATAAACATTATTTAAACAAGAATAAAAGTGTGGCGTCTTGACGTTTGAAGTAATAAACATGTCCGATTGAAAGTAAATCCATTAATTCTCTCTGTCTGTTTGTTTATCTATCTATCTATCTATCTATCTATCTATCTATATATATATATATATATATATATATATATATATATATATATGTGTATATATATGTATCTATGTGTGCGAGTATGTTAAAATCTCTCTCCCTCTCTTTCTCCCTCTCTCTTTATAAATAAATGCACGCAAATATGACGTGTGTGTACGTAAAACTATCTATCTCTCTCTATTTATCTGTCTTTCTATCGCTCTCTCTTCTTTTCTTTTTTCTCTCTCTCTCTCTCTCTATATATATATATATATATATATATATATATATATATATATGAACATGCAGATAGATAGATAGATAGAAAGATAGATAGATAGATAGATAGATAGATAGATAGATAGATAGATAGATAGGCGCGCATGCGTAGAAGAATGTCTGGAAAACGGAGAAAAGATGTCGAGGAAAGGAAATGTACGACGCAAGGCGAAAATGTTAATAAAATGATACGACTTTAATAGACGTAAGAGTAAAATCTCGTTTCCACTGTGCATGCATTGAAAATCATTGTTGTAATCTCTTTGGTTAAAATAGTTTCGCATTAAATGGTTTCACACGTGTAATGCTGTGTTGCGAACGAACAGGAAGAGAAAACGCCCGGGGAGAAATGAACCCAGATGATTGCAGACATTATTCAAATGCTAAAATAAGAAGGAAAAAAAATAATCAAAAAAATAACGAAGAGAGAAAATTGACACAAGAAATAAAGAAAGAGAAGTGATAGAGAAAGGAAAGTGATTGAAAAAAAAATGGGAAAAAGAAGGAACACTGAAGAGGAAAAAGAAAGAACAATGAAAAAATGAAAGAGGAAAAAATGAAAGAGGAAAAAATGAAAGAGAAGTATTTAAGAAAAAAAACGAATGAAAGAGAAAAAGAAATAAGGAAAGACTAGAGGAAAAAGTAATAATAATATTAATAATCATTGTTATTATTATTATTATTATTAGTAGTAGTAGTAGTAGTAGAAGAAGAAGAAGAAGAAGAAGAAGAAGAAGAAGAAGAAATGGCGCAAGGTTATGAAAACAAGAAGAGAAAATGATGCTGAGGCAAAACGAATAAATAGAATAAAGAAAGAAAAAAAGAAAGAAAGAAGTAAAGAAAGAAAGAAAGAAAGAAAGAAAGAAAGAAGGCAAAGACGACGACGACGAAGAAGAAGAAGAAGAAGAAGAAATGGCGCAAATGAAAAAAGAAGAGAAAATGAAGGCAAAACGAATAAATAAAGAAGAAAAAAGAAAGAAAAAAGAAAGAAAAGAAAGACTACGAAAGAAAAAAAAAAAGAAAGAAGAAAAGAAAGAAAAAGAAGGCAAAGACGACGACGACGAAGAAGAAACAAGAAAAAATGAAAACAAGAAGAGAAAATGATGCTGAGGCAAAACGAATAAATAAAGACAGAAAAAAGAAAGAAAGAAAGAAAGAAAGAAGATATGACACTGAGAAGAAAGAAAGAAAGAAAGAAAGAAAGAAAGAAAGAAAGAAAGAAAAAGAAGGCAAAGACTACGACGACAAAGAAGAAGAAGAAGAAGAAAAAGAAGAAGAACAAGAAAAAAAGAATAACAAGAACAAGAATTGACGTAAGTCGAAAATGAAAAAAAAAAATAAAAAGAAAAGAATGAAAATAGAAATTTTAAAAAAAAGAAAGAAAAGAATAAAACGAAATTGAAAAGAGAAGACGAAATTGTAAGTAATAAATAAATAAATAAATAAATAAAGAAAGAAAGAAAGAAAGAAAGAAAGAAATGATTAGGTTACGGGGAAGGGAGAATAAATATAAGTAAAATGAATTACGACAAAATGCTGCTGTAAATGCTCAAAATCTTCGAAGCAGTGTGTGAGAAATAGAACGTGAAACAGAAGTTTGACCCTCGGGGGTAGGAGGAGTTTACAACAAGAGTTTCTCGTTGGAATAAGTACTTACATTTCTAAGTCATGCAAAGATGATCAAAAAATATCGAGCAGAAAACTGAATTCAATAAAAGAAAAAAAAAAGGATTCAAATAACCATTTATTTATATTTCGCTCAAAAGAAATCGACATGTCCAAATTGGGAACACGTTTTTTATTAAGTTAAAATTAGTCTACTCTAGTACAAGGTAATGACTGTGGAACACTAAGGAAAATATTTATCCATCTATGCGCAGGGATAGAATGCGGTACAAACTTTCTTTTTCAACCTAATAACTGTGGAGCACCGAGGAAATTATTTATCCATCTTAACGCAGAGATAGAATGCGGTACAAACTTTCTTTTTGAATGTGCGGTTTTATTCAACGTAATAGCTGTGGAGAACTGAGGAAATTATTTATCCATCTTAACGCAGGGATAGAATGCGGTACAAACTTTCTTTTTGAATGTGCGGTTTTATTCAACGTAATAGCTTTGGAGAACTGAGGAAATTATTTATCCATCTTAACGCAGGGATAGAATGCGGTACAAACTTTCTTTTTGAATGTGCGGTTTTATTCAACGTAATAGCTGTGGAGAACTGGGGAAATTATTTATCCATCTTAACGCAGGGATAGAATGCGGTACAAACATTCTTTTTGAATGTTGGGTTTTATTCAAAGTGGTGTCCTCATCTTTTGAGCGTTTGAATCTCACCATGGTCAATTTGTCAACGGGGTGGCTTCTTAATTATATTTGGATAAAGAGAGGAGTGCCTGAAAAACATACCATGGGGAGACCCAACTCTTAACTGACAGAAAATGTAACTGTAAGCATGGAAATAAAACTGCATATGTGCCTGGACCGGCGTCTGCAACAAGAATTAGCCTTTCCCTTTAATATAGACGTATTCTCGGAAACAAGCAGTAATTCTTCTGAGGAACTTTCCACCTACACTTGCATATAAATGCTGTACTAGATTGGCGGCAAGGTCTCATCATTTAAGACTTAAAATGGCTAGATATAACCGTAAGTTCTATGCTAACAGTTTCCTCTCTCGCAGTTCACGTTTGTGGAAATCTCTTCTTGCTTTCCAGTTTACTTTGATCTTCAAATTTTAAATGCAATATAAATCTTTATTTTCTGACTCCTTAATTCCTGTCTATTTATTGTTCTTTCTCCATAGCAATGTTTTCTTTTTCTCATATTCTCTTACACTCAGTAAAGCCTTGCGTCTTAGTGGCTTTATTGAAGAATCAAGTACACGCAGATAGCCGATTCGACCATCTGTATGTAGATGACTCTTTAGGTGACGTAAAAAAATTGTTACTTACTCGGCGACGCATGATAAGAATCGCGATGCAAAATCAAATGTTAAAAGTGTGAGGCCGGAACTAAGTCAGATGTTATGTTTGAAGGACTTTTTAATCTCTTTGCCACAAGGAAGGCGATTAAGCCATACAAGAGATGGATGGAAACCGAGATTTCATTGAACAGAAAGACCAATAAACGAAGAGGTTTCAAGAAGACAGATGATGACGTTGCATTTAAATTTTCGAAGGTTGTAGTTGAGAGGAGAGAAAGGTGCCGGAAGGGCGTTTCACAGACGAGAAATACGAAAGAAGAAACAATTAGAATAGAACTTACGTTTACATCTAACAATTTTAAAAGTAAAATGATGAAACCTAACTGGTAATCTAGTACTACGGCTAATTCAGGGTACAAAAGAGGAACGTTCATAAAATAAATGCCATGCAATTATTTACATAAAAGGCACAGGAAAGCCACAGTACGGCGGTGAGAAAATTATCTTCTGTCATCTTAATTATTGTTCTTTTATTGAACCCTCTCATTAATAGTAGTTTTTCTCATGTACTCGAACACTCAGAAACCCTTTGCGTCCTAGTGGCTTTATTGCCTTGCTTGGGGTAAAATGATTAAGAAAAGAAAAAATGTGATTGACGAGGAAGATCAATCTTATTACTTTGGAAAATAATGGCAGTAAGGATTTTTGAAAAAGGATAATGTTACGCTTAAATACATTGTCAGAGATTCTCTCCAAGAAGATAAATTAACAGACTTTATTTTCTGGTTTCTATTCCATATATATATATATATATATATATATTTAGTTGGATTGATGTGAGTTTGTGACCCTGGGTTTCACGCTTTTTGCGATCGTCAATTGTCTGACGATCGCAAAAGCGTGAAACTCAGGGTCACAAACTCACATCAATCCAACCAAATATGTTAGCTCTATCTCTGATATTGAGCGCTTTCTAATAAGTACCGCGCATATAATATATAAATAATTATATATATATATATTTATATTTACATACACACATTTTCACACACACACACACACACACACACACACATATATATATATATATATATATATATATATATATATATATATATATATATACCTTTTACTACCCACTACTCCACCATGCATTCTGACGAGCGGCCTGAGGGCTCGGAGAGCCAAGTTCGAATTCCATTCGAATTCATTACGTTCACGTGCTAATAACCTTGGGAAATGTATAAATCCTCTTCTTCTCCCTCCAGCTATGGGTAATTAACAGGAGAGACTGGGTTCCTATAGGCTTCGAGAAGGACAACTCTGAATTCAAAACCCGCAGAAGGTTGTTTGGGGACCTTGTGACACGTAGTGCACCGGTCTCTGTATTCAGCCCTTCAAAAAAGCACAAAACCTTCGCCATTATAATCAAATCATATGTGCTAATGTTTGGTTGTCGGTTCCTACGAACTGATTTGCTGACCCTTATACGTCGAATACGACGGGAAAGTGCACTATATATATATATATATATATATATATATATATATATATATATATATATATGTGTGTGTGTGTGTGTGTGTGTGTGTGTGTGTGTGTTAGGGTTATGACATTTTGATTTTTTGTAAAATAATTGATTTCCTGTATCATAGTTCGATGAAATTTTGTTCAAAAAATAAGGAAGAAGGGTTTAATTCAGTTTCTTTAAAAAATGTCACCCAATTGGCGTTGGTGAAAATAAGGATCTTAATGGGTCAAATAGAGCCTTAGGATACGCCCGCATTAATGAAAAAAAAACAAACAAAAAAAAAAAAAAAAAAAAACAAAACAAAAAAAACAATCTGGAGGATTGGTCGTTCAAGACAACTTTTCATTATGAGGTTTGATAGAAAAGATGGTATTAAATTAAAGAAGAGGTCGGAAACACCATAACCCCTCAGGAGGCCAGATTGCCTAACCCTGTCAAAGGCCTTCGAAATACCTAACCCAACAGCTCCTGCTTCGACATTCTTATCTAAAGCTTGATGGACATTTGTAACAATATCTGTTAACACACGCGCACACACACACACACGCGCACACACACACACACACACACACACACACACACACACACACACACACACATATATATATATATATATATATATATATATATATATATCATACTTATAAAACCCAGGTTGTGTGTGTGTGTGTGTGTGTGTGTCTGTACGTTTATATATTGGATCGGATTTCCTACATTTTTCAACCAATTTCAACAAAACTTCACAGGACTACGTAAATTTACCTTGCGGTGGTTCTGACAGCGCCAAAAATTGGAAAAACACAATTGTTTTGCACGAAATCAATTTGAAAACACGATTAAGATGCATCACGAGAATGAAAGGGGGACAACTCACATCGAGTTATACTTATTATAAAACCCAGGTTGTCTGTGTGTGTGTGTGTGTGTGTGTGTGTATGGGATCGGATTTCCTACATTTTTCAACCGATTTCAACAAAACTTCACTTTTTTTTGGCAGGTAGTTTTTTTATTGTCTTGCACACTTTTTTCTTTATTTTTACATTCAGAATGCTTTAAAAATTTCATTTACAAGACAATTGTTTATAATAAAATTCTACTCAATCGATAGACTCATAACGATTGTAAACAATGTTTTTGTTTGAGTTTGACCAATTCATAAAAAAAAAATAAAAATAAAAAATAAAACTAATTAAGAGATGCGTGTCCGTCAACCTTAAACAATAATCTTTGTTAATTTTATTTTTCAGTCTTTATGATGGTCGATACTTGATCTGTCTCTTACTGTTACATCCCCGGGCAACGCCGGGCTCTACTGCTAGTATATATATAAATACAGGTTGTATGAAAATACTTTTACAATCATAGGGGACGGTTTCTTCACACTAAAACAAAGACAAAAGTCCATATAAATGTGATACCTGGATCGTTTCCAACAACCTAGAGAATGTTTTCTTCGTGGTAAGGCATACGGGTGGATCTCGTCTTTCTCGATCCATAGTTTGTGATGTCACGGATCCTGTCTAAGCAACGCGATGATAAACAGCAGTAAAGTTTGGATGACTCGGCTGCCTTCGGTCTGGAAACACAATCTGATACAGCCGTGCAGCCTCCCGTTCATTACCATTCGTACGGCCGTATGTAAAAATCATCCCTGCCTACTCATGATAAAAATATCTTGCCATTGTTAAACTCAATACTTCTCAGTTAACTCACTACTGCATACGTTAAACGTTGAAGACAGACTAGCCACAAATATACATGAATGACAAATGTAAC